CATATTTACTGTTAAGTTATTCAAAGCCTTTTTTAACTTATATTTTTCTAATTATGAAACTCATAAGCAAAATAGTCTCTTTTGAGTCCCTTTCCTACTTAAGACCAGGAGTTTAGCACCCAATTTTTTTTTTACTCACTTCTTTGGCTCTGTTAATGGAATTTGGGTTTTTATATTTCAATTACTGTTATTACAGTATCTATTTGCATTGCATGTATATGCACGTTTGCTTTCAAAATGAATTTCTGTATCTGCATACACTTTTATAACAACTTTTTATAACGACTACTTAGCTCTCTCTCCACGGGCTTTTGTGATCCCTGCTCACCTGCTTCTGTCATGACCTCAGCTATAAAGTTTGCTATCGTTCTCGGCAGGCTGATAAAGGACTTCAAAGATTAACTTCAAGAAGGGCACTGGCTAGTAGTACATCATGTGAGTCTCACACGTCGGAGAATGTCTCCCAGCTGCTCCATGATCTCTGGGATTGAATGCTGCAAGGGAGTCGAGGTGGCCTGGTTTTGCACCTTTGTGGGAAATCTGTTTTTTTCTGGGCTAGATACTTGTAGATTTTCCCCTTTCTGTTTGTATTTCAAAACTTCTGACAAAATGTGTCTGGGTATTACTCTCTATTCACCAATTCTGCTAGAATGCAGAAAGGCCAGCTAGACTGCACATACAGTCTGAGCATTTCCTTATGAAACTGTTGACTTTGTAATTTCAAAATGGTTATATATCGGCAATTTTGTATGGTCCAATCTAGTAGATCTCTCTTGAGCCCACTTAAGTTTGTCACCTATTTTTTTTTAAGTAAACTTCTTATTTGAGAATAGTTTTAGATTTATGGAAAAATCACAAAGAGAGTATATAGAGTTCCCATATGTCCTCTCCCAGTTTCCCCTATTATTAACATCTTACGTTTATATAGTACATTTGTTATAAATAATGAATCAATATCAATTCATTATTAACTAAAGCTCATACTTTATTCAGATACCCTTAGTTCTTTTCTCTAGTGTCCTTTTTCTATTCCTGGGTCCCATTCAGGATACCACATTATATATCATTGTCATGTATCTGTAGGCTACTTTTGGCTTAGACATTCCTTAGTTTTGAAGACCTAGACAGTTTTGAGGAGCATTGGTCAGGTATTTTGCAGGATGGCCTGCAACTAGAATTTACCTAATGTTTTTCTCATGGTTAGACTGGAGTTATAGGTTTTGGGGAGGAAGAACACAGAGGTAAAGTGCCCTTCTCACCACATCATATCAAATGTACATACTATCAACATGACTTATCACTGTTGATGCTGACCTTCGTCACCTGGTTGAGGCAGTTGTCAGATTCTTCCACTCTAAAGTTACTCTTCTTTTCCCCCCTTTTCATCCTGTGCTCTTTGGAAGGAAGTCACTTAACAAGTGGGTAGTTCTGCTCTACCTCCTTGGGCCTGAAATATCTACATAAATTATTGGGAATCCTTTGGCATAGGAGATTTGTCTATTCTCTCTCATTTACTTACTCAATCATGGGTATCTGTTTTATACTTTGGGTTATAATCCAATACCACTTTTATTTTATTGCTCAAATGTCCCAGCTTTGGCCATTGGGAGCTCTTTCAGTGGCTCTTTCAGTTGGCTGCTGTACTCTTCTGACACACCTCCATCAGTGTGTGCTGTTGATGTGGTTTGAGCACGTCCTTAACTTTCTGGCACTACAAGATGCTCCAGGATCATCTTGTATGTTTCCTGTCCCAGTCCTAGAGTCGGGCATTTCTCCAAGGAGCCCTGGTTCCTTTTCAAGGAGAATGGTATTAGAAACCAAGATCTGGGTGGTAGTTGTGCTTGTTGATACTGAGATTCCTGTTTTGGTTTTGATTTTGATTCTGTTTCATTTGTCCCAGTTTTCCCTTAGGATCTCCCTACTCCAGTGTCCATAACTCATCTTTCCTCTCATTAGACTGATCTCTTTGACCATTTCCTCTGAATTCTGGCAAAGCAATTCAAGAGTTCTAGTTTCCTTGGCATTAACTCTGCTCTCTACTACCTCCAATGCGGATTTTAATTCTGCTAGTTGCTATTTAGTTTTCTTCCTTGTCCTCTGTACTTCCTTCTCTATCTTATCCCACAGCAAACCAGAGATCTGCTTTTTCTCTAAGCTTTCCAGAAGTTACTTTTCTTTGTTCCTGAGTGTTTTAGCCTTGTGTTCTCTGTTAGCTTTGTCTGTCCAGACTTGGTATTTTGTTTACACACACTCAGCAAATGTGTTGAGCAAATTAGGTTTGGTTCCAGGTGCTGGGGAATAAAACAGTGACCAAGACAGACAGAAACTGCTGCCTCCTAGAGCTTACATCCTAGTGGGAGGAGACAGATGACAAAACAACTGGGTAAAATGAATAGGAGGTCAGATATTATCGTGGGTTGATCTGTATCTCCCAAAGATATGTAGAAATCCTAACTCCTAATACCTCAGAATGTGACTTCATTTGAAAACAGGGTTGTTGTAGATGAAATTAGTTAAGATAAGGTCATATTGGAGTAGGGTAGGCTCTTAATCCCACATGACTAGTGTCCTAATAAGATGATGTTAAGAGAAAAGGGGGAAATGTCAGTGAAGGCAAAGACTGGAGTTATACAGCCACAAGCCAAGGAACATCAAGGATTGCCAGTGATACTGGAAGCTTACAGAAAGGTACGGAAGAGTCCCCAAGGCTGCTAGAGAGCATAGCCTTGCTGACATCTTGACCTTGGCCTTCTGGCCTCAAGGTGTGAAAGAATAAACTTCTGTTGTTTTAAGCCACCTAGTTTGTGGTACTTTGTTATGGCAGCCCCAGGAAACTGATACAGATGTCCATCAGTGAAATGGAGAAAAATAGCAGAAAGAGGGGGGTGGGAGTGCAAGGGGAAGGGATTTAAATTTTAAATAAAGCCTCTGGGAAACGGGGACAACTGAGAAAAGACTAGAAGATGATGCAAAAAGGAGCCATGCAGGTTCTGGGGGAAGAGCACTCCACACAGAGGGGATCCTTTGCCAACAGCCTGAGCATGCTGTCCTTGGCTCTGCTCTCCCGGGCTTATGTGATGCTGGAATCCTTTCTCAGAACCGCAGCTGTGTGGGGTGGTGGAGAAGCTGGACCATGGCATTGCCCAGATCTGAGTTTGAATTCCAACGCACCACTTTCCAGCTGGGTGACTAGGGGTGAGTTCTTAACCTCGTTGAGGCTCAAGCTCCCCATATGTGAAACGGGGATACAAAAATTCTCTCTGTCCCAGGGCTCTGGGGAGGGCTGAATGGGCAAGTGAAGGTCAAGGGCTCTGCAGGGGGGCCTGGCCCTTGCTCAATGCACTGGAAAGGCCGGCTGCTGTTTTCATCAGCGTCCATATCACTCCTGCTTCTGTTGGAATTGGTTGGCTGATGAGCAGAGCACCCAGTTCCATCCATCCCCAGTTTCTTGTAGACTTTCAACTAATGCATCTGCTCCACACATAAAGGCTCTTTAAATTTTAAAGCCCACAGAATTCCGCCGGGTCTCTGAGGTGCAGGAAGCTATTTCCAGTGCCCACCCTGGGGAGACACTGCGTGTGGCAGGAGAATGTCAGTGCAGCACCAGAGCCCCGTCCACCCCAGCCCCACCCCAAGTAGTCTCTGCAGAGTAGGCACTCCACTCCTCTGGATCCTCTGGGCCTCTGCACAGCCCGACTCCACCCTCAGAGCAAATCGTCTGTGGGGGAAGAGCTGGGCAGATCCAGCCCCAGACACCTAGGCTGCTAGCAGGCCCTCTCTAGCTACGGTTTCCTCAACTGCAGAGGCTCCCAGGGCTGAAATGTCAATGCAGATGTGGTATCTGCTCCTGAGCAGGTGACAAACAACTGGTGCTCTGCTCCCTTGCTCCCCATCTCTGGGTCTCAGTCTCCCCATATGTGAACTGAGGGCTCCATGAGCTCTAAACTGCCACCTGCTCTGATTGGTATAACCTGGGACCAGCCCAAGAGAGAAGGGACATGTCAGCAGTTGGCATCTGGGGCCTCAGGAGACTTTCAATGTGGGCATGATGAATGGAAGAGTAAGGTGACAGCTCTAACTATGTCTGTACCTTCTTATAATCCCCCAGCAGCTCCCCACTGCCCTCAGGATAAAAGACCAAACTTCTCAGCTCAACATCCAAGGCTCATGGAAACTGGCTCCAAATTCTGTTTTCGGCCTCAGCATCTTTCCCACGGCCCCGCCCGGATACTCCAGCCTCCAGGAATTCCTGCTGACCCCAAGTGCACAGTGAGCATGGCTGTCCTGCCCTTGGATATTCACCCTGCAGGTCTCATTCCTGCCCATCCTCCATGGCGTGGTGGAGGCTTGTCTGAATCCTCCCCGGGGAACACTTCCTCCCGTTGTTCCCCAGCCCCTCGGTTCCTGGTTCCCCTGAGAGGTATCTGCCTTCCGTACCAGCTCTGAGTGACCTGTGGACACTGGCAGGTCTGACGGTGTCTGGGAGCCCAGGAGAGTGTCTGGCACAAACACGGTGTTTGGGAAATGAATGGACAGATGACAGTTAGGAACTACTTACAACTGGGCAAACATCTAGTTGACCCTTCTGTTCCTGGAGTGAGTGTCACTGGAGGGGGTCAGGAGCCTGAGCTTTCAGTTCCAACAACAGTACTTCCTTGCTGTGGGTTTGGGCAAGAGAGTTACTCTCTCTGAGCCTCTTCACAACGGACATGATAATAATTGCGCCCTGGTTGCCTCTCAGGCTGGGTTGAGAGATACAGAATCACCCAGCAAGCTCCACATGGCTGTACACCTGGCAATCAGACCTCTGGCCAGTGCTGGACAACCAGCACTGGGGACAGCCAAGGGAAGCCAGCTTCTGAGAGCTTCTCCTCATATGTCAGATGCCAAGGATAAAGTGAAACAGCCTGAATTCGAGACTCCTTCAAAGTCAGGGGATTTGGGGAACCCCAGGAGCATGCGGTCAGTCTGTCCTCTGGGCTGTGGCCAGCTGCACCTACCTTAAGCTTTTTGACACTGGTGCAGGGATCATTGGAGAAGCTCTCAGTGTCTGAAATCTCGATGTCCTCACCATACAGAACCCCGGTCAGGTCGTTCCTCACCTGCCAGCAAAGAGAAAGCAGAGGGTGGGTGTGCTGGCGGCCACAGGAAGGGCCAGTTCAGAGGGGTTGTCCTGGGAAGTGGCTCAAATGGGCAAGGTGATTTTCTCCATCAACACACAAAAGGAGTAGGTTTTACCTTCATCAAAAACTAGAGTGCACCCTGGGGCCTTGGAGATCTCCCAGTCCCACTCCACACTTGACACAGAGGCATAAGGAGGCCAGACAGGGAATGGGCCTACTAAAGTTGCCCAGGAATTTCCTGGAAGAATTAAGACAAGCATCCAAGTCTCTGGAGTTTCATGCTGGTGTTTCATACTATCTCCAAATCAGATTAGTTAAGTACATCACGCTGTCTCCAAATCAGACTATTCAAATACTTCTTTATTTATATTTTGCATTATTTATTTGCAATATTACTTCATTTCTAGGGTGAAGAAATAGCTGAGATATTCATATAGACAAAGTAAAACAGGAGAGAGTAAGGGGATATGGAATCAGCCTGAGATGTTAAACATAACTATGTGTCTGCTGACACACAGAATGACTAACATCTATGTGCTTGGAAAGCAGAGAGCTGCAAACTCCAGTGTTCACACCGACTAGCCAATGTGTGAAGCAGCCTGTGTGGAAGGATACTAGGGAGTGGTGGGGACTGTGGCAAACTGGTGACTATATGCCTCACCTAAAGATGGCACTTGCTGCTCAGCTCCAAACATGCTATGCCAGAATGCTGGTCCAGAGTCACCAGACCTTCCGATTTTGGGGGAGTGAAATCAAAAATCCAGATTTTTATTTTTATTTATTTTTTTGCCACGCTGCACAGTATGTGGGATCTTAGTTCCCCAACCATGGTTCGAACCTGTGCCTCCTGCAATGGAAGCATGGAATCTTAACCACTGGACGGCCAAGGAAGTCCCTAGATTTTTAAAATACAGGATCTCCCACATTTTAAAGTGTTGATATTATTTTCAATTTTTTTTTAAAAAACAAAGTTAGGACCAAAACAAATAAATTTGAAATCTGTATCTGGCCCATGTCCAGACTCTATACCCTCTGACATAAAGCCATGGAAATGAGACTGTGTGTTTTAGTAGAAAGAACCAGGTGGGAGTTTTGGGACCCAAGTTCCAGGTCTTGCTCTGGCACTGAGTTGCTTGTGACTTCGGCCTCTCTGTGTGACCCTTTCCCTCTTAGGGCTTCAGTCTCCTCCTCTTCAAGAGAAGATGATCTTTAAGAGCACTTCTTGTTCATACGCATTAAGATGGCTATTATCAAAAACCAAAACCCAGCAAGTGTTGATGAGGATGGGGATAAACTGGAACTTTTGTGCACTGTTAAAATTACCCATCATATGGTAATATGATCCAGCAATTCTACTTCTGGGTATATACCCAAAAGAATTGAAAGCAGGGTCTCAAAGAGATATTTGGACACTCAGGTGCGTAGCAGCATTATTCACAAGAGCAAAAGGTGGAAGCAACCCAAATGTCCATCAACAGATGAATGGATAAACAAGTTGTGGTTTATACATACAATGGAATATTATTCCGCCTTAAAAAGGAATGAAATTTTGATACATGGCTACAACATGGATGAACCTTGAAGACATTATGCTAAGTGAAATAAGTCAGATGTGAAAGGACAAATATTGTAAGATTCCACCTAGATGAGGTACCTAGAGTAGTCAAATTCATAGAGACATAAAGGAGAACAGTAGCTCCTAGGGGCTGGGGGATGGGGGAATGAAGAGTTATGGGTACAGAGTTTCTGTTTGGGATAATGGCAAGTTCTGGAGATGGCTGGTGGTGCCTCTTGCACAACAATATGAAGGTACTTAATGCCTCTGCACTGTAAATTTAAAAATGGTTAAAATGGTAAATTTGATGTTATGTACATTTTACCATGATAAAAAAAAAAAAGCACTTCTTGTTTCAACAAGTGGTGGATCCTCCCAATGTATGTATCAAAACGTTTTGAATAATTTGGCCCTGAATGTCACAGGATGGTCACTGGGAAGCCACCACCATAGAAGGGGAACAAAGGGAGTTTCAGTGGGAACTGCTGTATTTCATTTCTTTAAAAGAAATATGACACAAATAGAGCAAAATGTGAACACATTAATCCTGGGTGGCTAGTCCATGGGTGTTTGGTGTTCTGTGCTTTTCTGAATGCTCGAAATACTTTGCAATAAATGTTTTGTAAAAACAATGACACTGCCGCAGTCAGGGTGAACTTTGTCCATCCTTAGTTTTTACCTCTATTTTGATGGAAGATTGGGAGCTAGTTGCTTGAAAAACAAGTTGGCTTTGCCATTACAGTTCATTTCTGCTGCGTCAAATCCTTTTTGCTTTTTTTTAAAAATAAATTTTATTTATTTATTTATTTATTTATTTTTGGTTGCATTGGGTCTTCGTTGCTGCATGTGGGTTTTCTCTAGTTGCGGTGACAGGGGCTACTCTTCATTGCAGCGCGCGGGCCTCTCACTGCGGTGGCTTCTCTTATTGCAGAGCACGGGCTCTAGGCATGCGGGCTTCAGTAGTTGTGGTGCACGGGCTCAGTAGTTGTGGCTCGTGGGCTCTAGAGCGCAGGCTCAGCAGCTGTGGCACACGGGCTTAGTTGCTCCGCGGCATGTGGGATCTTCCTGGACCAGGGCTCGAACCTGTGTCCCCTGCATTGGCAGGTAGGTTCACAACCACTGCACCACCAGGAACGTCCCTCAAATCCTTTTTGGATGCAGGTGGGGTTCCATTATTAGTTTTGTGTTTCATGAGGGTGCTGTGGAGCAACAACAATTATTAAACACAGAAAATGTGCAAACTCGGCCCTGCTGGAAGGCAACACAGCCAATGCACAGACTACCAAGGCATGCACAGTCGAGCCGCAGCTCTCCACGTCCATGCCACCCAAACTACTCGAACTCTCTTGAGTCTCAGTCTTTTCACCTATAAAATGGGGGCAATACAGTATGTAACTTAGAGGGCCCAGCAAAAACACTGAGGATGCGGAATGGCTTAGGAAATTCTAAAGTTCTTTACGCTGCTTAAAAGCTGGAATGATCATTTCCAGGCATAAGATGCAGCATCAAGGCTGTCAGTGGCTTAGAGTATCTATCTATGAGTAAGTGTGTGCATGAGAGCTGTATATAATTAACGGCAGAAAAAATATTTTATAGGCGGTCAGAACTCGAAACAAACAAAACCAAAACACCCTAGAGGTCACCTTATTCTGCCCCTAATTTCACAAATGAGGAAACTGAGGTGTGACTCCCAGGCCAGTGCTCTCTGAATGGTCCCAGGCTGGCTCTGCTGGATCCTGCCAGATGTGGACAGTTCCTAAGGCTTATGAGCCAGAACAGGTCAGAACAGATGGTTGGTGATATTAGGCACTCAGTGACCATAATTTCAGCACAAAGAAGTCTGCTCAGCTTGAGCATTTATTCTAATGGACTTTTTTAGGGAAAGCAAATGGAAAGAAACAGTAATAAATGATGTTTTAAAATAACCAATGCATGTTAAAGAAATAATGCAATTGACTACCTCACAAGGAAAAAAATCCACACTCTCACGTGTGGCTAGAAGGATCATTCATTGCACTGGTTAAAGATTATTAAGTAAGTTAGAAAAAAGACACCTCTTTTTTTTTTTTTTTTCATTCTGGTACTGCAAGGTATCTCCTGTTTTACAGGGCCAATATCTTTTATCAGCTTGCTAAAAACCACATTTCAGCAAACTGAATCCTATTTTTTATTCACCTCTACTATAAAAGCAGAAATACGTTCTTCCTGGAAAGGAGTGACACTTAATTCTCAAGAAAATAAAATACATTCACACATACACACACACTCAAGTATAGCCAGAGTCCCACTGGGGCCTAATCTGCACATGGGGCCCAGGGAGGCAGCCATCAGGAGTCTGATTTACTGAAAGGCCCTGGCCATCCTGGGAGGAAGGGGGAGAGATGGGTGCTGATGGGCAGGGAAGGGGCAGAGAAGGTTGCCCCATCACCTAGAAGGGAGGGTCAGGGCTGCCAATGGAGTGAGGAAGACCATGAGTGGGGCCCTGGGTGCTGCTAGAAGGGAGATTAGGAAGGGTTGAGTCCTTAAAAGCTGGGTCCTCAGGGCCAGCTCACAGGGCTGAGATTGCCTAAGGGAAGAACTCTCCCTGCTTCTGGAGCAATGAATCCCAGCCCCAGCCATCGGAGTAAATCTGAAAGGAGCACAACTCACTCGGCACCAGGGAGAACCAGTGGGTCAGAGCTCTAGGAATAAATAATCGAAAATAGGCTTGGAGGCAACAACTGTTGATTTTTCTCCCCCAAGAACTGGTATGGACCGTGGATGCGAAGTCACACCAGAAAGCGTGTCCCTAAAGCAGTGGTTCTCAAAGTGTGGCCCCTGGACCAGTAACACCAGCATCACCTGAGGGAACTTGTTAGAAATGCAAATTCTCGGGCCCACCTCAGACCTACTGGGTCAGACACTCTGGGGTGGGGTCCAGCAAGCTGTGTTTTAGTCAGCCCTCCAAATGATTCTGATATATGTTCAAGTTTGAGGACCACTGTCCTAAAGAAGGCAGGACAAGTTTTAAGCAAACCATTGATAATGGTATGAAAAAATGCTTTCTATGGCTTGGATATTTTCTGCTTGATTAGGAGACCGCAATGTGTTGACCTGAGTAAGGCAATTACCGAAAGGGTGAGCAGGACCGGGATTCCCATTTAAAAAGGCATCACATCTAGAACGTGGAGTGGACAATCACCCTCTGGTCTGCCCACCTCAGAGCACACCTGGAGTGCTGGGCTCAGTTCTGGTGCATTTATCAGGGATTGTGACAAAGTGGCTCAGGCTCAGGGGAGAGAGGTGTGGCTATGACGGGGACCAAGAACCCTTTAGAAGACCATGGACATGGTGGCGGGGGTGTTGGGAGTATAAAGGTCACAAGGGGTGACACCAATGACTCCTCAGGAGTGGTGAGGAGTGACACCAATTGGTGACACCAATT